TGAGAGATTCATCTCTTGATGCAACATTTGTGCAAGTTTGGTTTATACAATGTTATATAAGCCTTACAGTTTTTTGGTAATTGACCTGCACCCATAACTTTTACCTGGTCTATTTTCTGAAAAATAAATGTTGAATTCAGCATCTGAAGCAAGTCCATTAGTGTGCATCCTAAGATGTATTGTCCATGCAAGTTTGCTCATTATAGGGCTCATGGTTAATTGGAAATGAAACATGCATCAAAAATTAACATTTTCACTCCTCCACAAAATGTATGTCAGATTCAGCATCCGAAGCAAGCCCGGTAGTATGCATCCTTAGATGTATCATCCATGCAAGTTTGGTCAACATAGGGCTTATAGTTAATTGGAAATGAAACATGCACCAAAAACTTTAACCTGTTCACTCAACCAGAAAATGTAGGTCAGATTCAGCATCTGAAGCAAATCCAGTAGTATCCATCCTTAGATGTATCATCCATGCAAGTTTGGTCAACATAGGGCTTATAGTTACTCAGAAATGAGACCTACACCAAAAACTGCACCAAAAACTTTAACCTGTTCACTCAACCAGAAAATGTAAGTCAGATTCAGCATCCGAAGCAAGCCCGGTAGTGTGCATCCTTAGATGTATCATCCATGCAAGTTTGGTCAACATAGGTCTTATAGTTACTTGGAAATGAAACCTGCAGCAAAAATTTTAACCTGTTCACTCAACCAGAAAATGTAGGTCAGATTCAGCATCCGAAGCAAGACCGGTAGTGTGCATCCCTAGATATATCATCCATGCAAGTTTGGTCAACATAGGTCTTATAGTTAATTGGAAATGAAACCTGCAGCAAAAACTTGAACCTGTTCACTCAACCAGAAAATGTAGGTCAGATTCAGCATCTGAAGCAAGTCCGGAAGCATGCATCCTTAGATGTATCATCCATGCAAGTTTGGTCAACACAGGTCTTATAGTTACTTGGAAATGAAACCTGCACCAAAAACTTTAACCTGTTCACTCAACCAGAAAATGTAGGTCAGATTCAGCATCCGAAGCAAGCCCGGTAGTGTGCATCCCTAGATGTATCATCCATGCAAGTTTGGTCAACATAGGGCTTATAGTTACTATGAAATGAATCCTGCACCAAAATTTTTAACCTGTTCACTCAACCAGAAAATGTAGGTCAGATTCAGCATCCGAAGCAAGCCCGGTAGTGTGCATCCTTAGATGTATCATCCATGCAAGTTTGGTCAACATAGGGCTTATAGTTACTTGGAAATGAAACCTGCAGCAAAAACTTTAACCTGTTCACTCAACCAGAAAATGTAGGTCAGATTCAGCATCCGAAGTAAGCCCGATAGTGTGCATCCTTAGATGTATCATACATGCAAGTTTGGTCAACATCGGGCCTATAGTTACTATGAAATGAATCCTGCACCAAAAACTTTAACCTGTTCACTCAACCGGAAAATGTAGGTCAGAATTGGCATCCGAAGCAAGTCCGGAAGTATGCATCCTCAGATGTATCATCCATGCAAGTTTGGTCAACATACGGCTTATAGTTACTTGGAAATGAAACCTGCATCAAAAACTGCACCAAAAATGTTAACCTGCTCCAAAAACATTAACCTGGTCATTCCTTTGCTGAAATTGCAGCATCTGAAACTTTGACTGGTACAATGAAACACACTAGAAGCATCTTCCATGCATGTGTAATCAATATAGGACATAGAAGTACTTAAAAAGAAAACTGCTCCAAAAAACTTAACCTTAACCTGGGACGCCGACGCCGACACCGACGCCGAGGGTATTACATAAGTTCCCCCAACTTCGTAAAGGTGAGCTAAAAATCAATCACAATGCCAGAATCGAACCCTGGTCCCCAGGGTGAGAGTCCATAACCATATCAATTGAGCTATGGCTTCTTCTTGAAAATAGTGGAATTAAAATCTATCAATTTGTAGAAATCGAAATGGAACATGGTTCACCTGTTGTATCGAGGAGTTGCGATGAGTAAACTCGGTGACGGTGACGGGCACCTGTTCTTGTCAAAGAAATCTTCTCCTCGGAGATCGTTTTAAATTCTCTATCTAGAAATTTATCAAATTATTTTAAACAGTATCATTTAAAAAGCTATAATCTGCAAAATTAAGTTTCTTCCACAAGAAACATACATAAATGATTCATTCTATTCTTGTAAAATGATTTTATAATGATGTCTTTCAAAAGCTGAAATATCCTGCGGTTTTGACAATTAAGAAACGGAATGTATAATATCAATGTTCTTTCAGAAAAGGTATTACATGTAATAATATCAACAATATCAATGAAAGCTATATTAGAGCTGTAAAAATAAGATAACATTTTCTTTTTTTATATTAAGATCGCATTATGATTGATAGCCTCCAATTTTAATTCAGATTGATTTCAAATTAATTTAATAGCTATCAAATAAATGTTTATCAGCGAATTAGAGATTTTCAGAAAGAAAAACATAGACAAACTCATACAACATTTTATTGAATTTTGCTTCGAGAATCGGATCGTTATTTTTTTATCACTTGAAGAATTTTTTTGTTTTTTAAATCTAATTGGAAAATTAAATACCATTTTGAATTCTATGAATCCACACTTTTTGAATTTTATGAGTTCAGTTGAATTGTTATCATTTTTTTTTTTGGTAACATATAAATAAATAATTGTTATGCCATATTTTTAAAGTCTATAATCGCAATTCAAAGTTACACCAGGGAGTATACGACATATCTGATCTAAAATAAAAAATACAAGATCAAGTGTAGTTTTACAGGATATTTGCTATATTTATACGTTCAAATCAAATTTTTCACCGAATTTGACCTTAAATATCTCCTCGTTTCTATGGTTAAATTGACTTTAAACTGCATGTGTGTGATATTTAATTCCAAGTCGGAAATAAATCGGTTATTTTTTTAAATCTTGGATATCTACGCGATTGATTTAAATTGTATAATTTACAAGAGTCTTTTCATTATTTAAAGAATCAAAAGAAATAGAAAGATTCTTCTTATTTTAGTTAGTCCGAACGTATAAAAAAAATATGCCATACATGTCTTTTAACATTTGGTAAACACTTAAAATACAATTGAACATCTAACCGTAATTACAATTTTTAGGTACCTTTATCACAATAATGAAACAAATACAGTTAAGATTGGATAATAAATTTATGCAAAATTTTTTAAAGGAAAAACATCTCATTATAAATTAATAAGCCAGTGAAAAAAATCGCTGAATTGATACTAAAATATGTATTAAAAGATAACGGAACGTTAACTGAAAGACGACGGAGAGGTCACTGAAAGACGATGGAAAGGTCACTGAAAGTCGACTGCAAGGTCACTGAAAGTTGACGGAAAGGTCACTGAAAGATAACTGAAATGTGTCCGCTGAATGGTGACTGAAAGGTATCTGAAATATCACTGAAAGGCAACTGAAAGGTCACTGAAATGTACCTGCCATTCAGTGGCTGAATGCCAACTGAGAAGTCACTGAAAGCCGCCTTTCAGTTTTAACTGAAAGGTCTCGTTTCTTCCTATGACCCTACCTCACGGGTTTGACACTACCCCATGATGCTTTCACATAAGTTAAGCTTTCCTGGCCCAGTGGTTCCTGAGAAGAAGAATTTAAAAGTTTTTTCCTATATATTTCCATGTAAAAATTGGTTTTCAAATTATGGCCCCCCTACCCCCGGGGGTCATGATTTGAACAATTTAGAATATATACTACCAAACAATGCTTCCACATAAGTTTCAGTTTTTCTGGTCTAGTGCTTCTTGAGAAGAAGATTTTTAATTTTTTTTCTATATATTCTATGTAAAACTTGGATTCCCTATTGTGGACCCGCCCTACCCCCAAAGGTCATGATTTGAATAATTTAGAATCTACACTATCCCAGGATGCTTCCACATTAAGTTTCAGCTTTTCTGGACCAGTGGTTCTTGAGAAGAAGATTTTTTATAGTCCCCATCCCATTTTTGTCTTTTCTTGATTATCTCCCCTTGGGACGGGACTTGGCCCTTCATTTTAATAATTTCAACTCCCCTTCACCAAAGGATGCTTTGTACCAAGTTTGGTTAAAATTGGCCCAGTGGTTCTTGAGAAGAAGTTGAAAATGTGAAAAGTTTACAGACGGACAGACAGACAGACAGACTGACGGATGGACGGACAGACGACAAACAAAATGTGATCAGATAAGCTCACTTGAGCCTTCGGCTCAGGTGAGCATAAAATGTAGGTCACCATGACCTACTTTTGAGTTAACATGATGTGAAGTCCTAAGATGTATCAACTTACAACATTTGATGATCCTAGTCTTTATAGTAAACAAAATATCAACGTTTTTATAAAGTAATCTTTTTGGGGTCAACTTTGAAGTGACCTTGAGACCACGTCCTTTGCCCCAGGGTTATGGGTTGAAAAATATTTAATCTTCAATATATCTTCATCCTTGTATGTAAGATTGGTGATAATCTGCCTTGTGGTTCTAGAGAAGATTTTTTAGCAACCAGAACTTTGGGGTATATTTTTCTGATTATCCCCCCTTGTTTAAGGGTCCCAACCCTATTTTTCATACAAATGGTATCCCTTGGGCTAAGGATATCATGTGACAAATTTGACAAGGATTGGCCAAGGGGTTCTTGAATTATGGCCCATATTCTATAAAGTTTACTCACACTGCACAAATGGCCACAGCATTAGCTGTTTGAGCCTTTGGCTCAGAAGAGCTAATAAGTATAGTAATAAGTACAGATTTTCATACATATATATATACATATATATATCCGTTTTCTGAGGTCAATCTACAGATTTATTGACTTCACAGAAAAAGCATATTGGCTTGTACTTAATGCTCCGTTGATATGCTTTACTGTGTAGTCAACAAATTTTTAGAAGGACTTCATAAAAGGGCTACATTTAAATAAGTTCAATAAAACTTTATCATACTATCATTGATACTAAGCAATAAAGATACCTTAATGCTGCTGAACTTATTTTCTTTAAAATTTCGTCATGTCCTAACTGCTCAGAAAACATATTCCAATTATTGATGAAGGACCTGGCACAGAGCATCAAGTGATCTATTACCTCTACCCTGTAAAATATAAAGCTTTACGTGAACAACATGCTGACAACTACAGTACATGCCATGAGCTTTCCCTGTTGCACAGTGGAAAACACACCATGTGAAATGCTCTGTGATATACCATGTACACAGGTACTACTTAACAGAGTACAATAGAATACTTTAGAGTACGCTAGAAAAATTGTGTAATTTAATGCAATTAGATTATTTATTTATGCTTCTACAACTTGATTAAACATTATTATAAACCAAAATTGCAATATTTGTTTCAAATATTTGGGCTTTTTAGCGATATTTTGACTCAAAAATAACATTCATGATTCAATGCATTAAAGATTACTAGTACTAACATCCGATCTCGATTACTATTTTGATTTACTAAATTCAACTAAATTTTATCAAAAAATTAAATTAGTTGCATTATCTAAATATTTTTCACATTAAAATTGAAACATTTCAACATGTTCAACCAAAATTAGATCGGGATCAAACGATAGACGGTAACCTGAAAACAAAAATTAAAATAACTCATAAAATAATGAAAACATACAAATTTTATTTAAAAATATATATATTCAATATGTTAAATTAAAGTAGAAAAACAAACAAAAAGTAGTTTAATTGCATTAGATTATAAAATTTTACTAGCGTACGTACTCTAAAGTACTCCATCGTACTAGCGTACTCTGTTTAGTAAGACCACCATGTACACTGTGTAGCACAGTGTGGATTTCAAATACACAGGTAGGTATACCGTGCCACACAATGTCTCGAGTAATCCCTCAGGGGTCATGATTTGAACAAACTTGAATCCATACTACCTGAGGATGCTTCCATATCGTTAAGACCAATCATTACTTTGCTATTCTCCAAAAGAACTGAAGATTTTTCCTGTAAATTCCTTTGTAAAACTTTGATTTTCCATTGTGGCTCTACCCTTCCCCTGGGTGTCATGATTTGAACAAACTTTAACGTACACTACTTCTGGAGTTTCCTGACCCAATTGTTCTTGAGAAGATATTTAAATCAAAGTAGTGAAAGTACTGAATCGAGGTGACGTCTTCCAGAAAAATGTGAAATTCACCCCCCCCCCCCCCCCCCCCAAGTAACTGGCATCTACAAAAATTTTAATCTAGGAAAATCACTGGAAAGAAAAAAGTGACCAACACGACAATGCATTTTGTAACTTATTTGATGCATAAAAAGTGAACTATAGTTATCCTTCAGTATACCCGTCACCAAAAGAGGAAAATACATGTACCTCGCATTTCTCTTCAAATTATATTTTGATTTGTTTCTTGTTATACAGTAGCTGCAGATCTGTAACTCTCCGAAAAAAATTCACAGACTGGAGAGCTACAGTGCCATCCATTGAAAAACTGTTTATTTATTGCATAAAAAGAAGTGCGCTGTTTCTCGATTTATTTCTCCATGTTTTTAAACTGTCATCTCAAAATATTACTAACCGTGTGTTCCTAAAATATTCTTTCACTGTTTCCACAACAAAACGTTCCTTTTAATTGTTTTTAATAGCCCTTCTGGTCCTGAAATTGAGATCATCAAACATATCCTTTATTTATATTGCAATTTTGGTTTGCAAGATAATTCAATCCAACGCACTTCGTGCAGATGTCAACTACGAGATTACTTCATAGAGGAGTAAGGAATTTTTCAAAAGATGTATCTTTTTTGCGATTGAGGTAAGAATTCGGAATAACTAATCCAGAACTAAGCACAACTTTTTGTGCGCAATAAATATACAGTTTTTTTTCAGTGGATGGTACTGTAGCTCTCTGGTCTGTCAAAATATTTTTTTTGAAGAGGTACAGATTTGCAGCTGTGTATAACTTTTAACAATGTAATTTTTCATGTGCGGAATCCTAAATTCTAGAGGAGTTCCGACCGAGTATTCGATGAAGTGGTCATTACTCATTAGCATGCAGCGAAATAGGTACAGGTGCCCAGCTTATTTACCTTTTTCAACAGTGATAGCACCAAACAGATTTATAAGATCGGGACGATATTTTTACGTTCTAAACAAATTTTTTTAATAAATCACAGAAACAGGAGGGTGAAAATAACTTCGCTTTTATGATAATTTGCGGTAAAGTGCGAAAACAACTTCGCTTTTGTAATAATTTATGGTGAATTTTGGAGCTCAGTAGGGACTATTGCGCCTCAGACGCCTCTATGTTAACCCCAAATTCATTTAATTGCATGTTTCGATTCAAGCAGAATGCTTCCCTCTGTTTTGTTTCAGTGTATACTGTACTGGTCTGTTCTCTCCCTTGCCTGTGATCGACGTTCAATACACATACGTGTAGGTCACGATCCCTGCTGCAGCCAGTTGTTTACATTTTACCCTTGCTAAAATAGTTCATAGCGTAGGGATACTTCATATCTTATTCCCACTCAGGAACTTGTATTTAGTATTTTTAAATCCATAAAAACACTACTTACTGTTTGGAAATTAAATTGAATACATTGTAGATCTTGTTTTGCGACTGAAATTCTGATTTTAATACATGTATAATCAGGGGACTATATTTCTTAGAGATCATGATGAAAATACCAGGTGCACTTCTTCATATAGTGAATAATAAGTGTACAAATTTTTAAACAAATCCTTCAATAGTTTCTAATAAAAGGTCCGGACAAAATCTTGTCTACAGACAGACGGACAAGCTGATTCCAATATACCCCCCCCTCCTAAACTTCGTTTGAACGCATTGATTGACTTTCGCTATATGCACATTAATTTTCATTTTGTACTAAATATATTCTAATATTTCAGCTTCTATATTTCTTATATCATTACTGTTACATTTTTTATAATTTTTTCTTTCTTTCTGTCTTGGTTTTGTTTTGGTTTGTAATTTCCAAGGGAGATAACTTGTGTTTTAGACTACGACTGTTTTTCACCTATGATCAGTAAGATGCACCATGGCTGGGTGATTTACCTTGATTGCTGAACCACGGGGCACATGGTTTTTACCTGAGACACCTGTACTAGCCACGATGAGATTCCCACCCCGGGGGTGTGCGGTAAATGCATAAACCGCGTTGACTGTACTGTAACGTACATTTTCAACCTTCACTCACAATATCTAATGTAATTCAAAATGAAAACCAGAGGTCTCTGTCGAGACTATAGCTCTACTGGTTTGTCCTTGTAACAAAGAAAGAGAAAAGTAGAAGTTGGACTTAAAATTTGCAAAGAAATAAATAGAATAATGCTCCTTGATTTAATCTCATTTTGTGGCAAGATAACAATTACACAACTGTAGGAGGAGTATCCTTTAAAAGAATTTTACAAATATTTTAATTTTAGTTACCATGGCAACATAATTATGTATCTTAGTGTACTCTACTTGTGTGCCAAGTTATATTGAAATCTGATCAAAACTGTAGGAGAAGTAGCAATTTGAAAGTATTTCACAGCAATTTCTAATTTTAGTTACCATGGCAAGACCGTTCATCGAAATCAAAAATCAAAAAAATTTTGATGGAAAAAAAATCCAGAGTTTATGTTTTATAATTTTTGTACATTTTTCTTTGAATAATGCAAAAATTTTCAAAATTTGATATCTTTTCAAAACCCCTGGTAAGGCATGCTGATTTTTTGTCTACGAATATGTAAGGGTATTATAACTTTACATTTAGAATATCTTGAAAAATTATCTGTAGGTAAGGTTCATTGCGTATGTCCTTAAGACCTTACGAAAAAATGTATGAATTCTTACAGAATTTCCTCAAACTGAAAATCTCAAATGTTAAGCTAAGACTGTTTAGACGTAATAATTACGAATAAAAGTCTTAATATTTTATCGTGACTCAGACGTAGACATTCTTACAGAATTTCCTCAAACTGAAAATGTAAAAAAAAATTCTCATTTATTCGTGTAAGATCTCTTGAAATACAGGAATAGTATCATTTTCACATTTGGGAAGGTTTAAATGTACTAGTATTTTGTATCAAATTCCATTTACTTAATTATTTTGTTTTGACAATCTGTACAAAATGTCAAAAAAGTAAATAAGTTTAAAGATTAATTTATGAAAAGTCTATGATTCAAGAATATTTCAATTTTGGGGGGTGACTGTACATCACCAAGTGTTTAAAAAATCTTATATATTTTTAACTAAATAATTTTTTTTTTTGAATTTTGAATAAAAGTCTTGACCAATTTATGTGAAAGGGACTAAATATGTAGAATTTTCAGTATAATATTCTACCACAGACAATTGTCTGTACTAGAATTTCATACTTAAGTTGCCTATATGTTTTTACAGACACTTAGTTTTCAGAAGAAAAAAATTGTCTTTCAAAAATCTGTCAAACAAATCAGTGAAAAAGGTAAAAATTGTTTTCTAATTGCCTTTTTAGGTAAAATTTGATAATTGATGGCCCCCAGACCCCTCACCGAGACTGGTTTCCTGCTATTCCATCTATTTTTCCTTCTATTCAAAATCTTATTGAAAACAGAAATTTCTATTTTTAGTAACCTCTGCAACACCATTCATGGAAATCAAAAACTAATGTATAGAATTATGTATCTTTATGCACTCTTTATTTAGCAAGTTATACTGAAATCAGACTAAAACTGTGGGAGGAGCAGCATTTTGAAAAATTGTTTACAGATGGACAGACAGACAGACGAACGACGGACACATTACTATGCATAAGCTCTTTTGCTCTCTGACCAGTAGAGCTAGAGACAACTTCTATCTTAATTCAAAATAATACATCATACTTTTTAAAATTTCCTAACTGGGTTGCAATTGCCTCCAAGTATGGGAGAACCTGCATTTTTGGAAAATTCTGGGGATACTTTTGTAGAAATCGAGTGAGCAGCTGAATCCATGGAATTGTCTGGCTGTGTTGCTCTCTGTCTGACAAGAAGTCTAAGATATAGCACCACCCTGAATTTAAGCGTCTCTTTTTAGTCCCTGGTCCTTCCTGGGTAGAGATCTGTGTGACATCTATAGCATTCACATTCTCCAGGAAGAGCTGTTCAAAAATAATAAATACTCTGTTTATTGTAAGCATATTCTTTTCCAAAGGAATACCATTCCCCAGTGTTACAATTTCTGTTCAATCTGCAATTTGAAAACTTAATTGAAAAATACCAACCTGATTGAATATGTCTACAATGAGTTTGACAAAGTTTTCAACTAGACTTGTCTCCTTTGAACTGCAAATAGTAATTTTTAAACAAGAGGCCCAAGGGCCTTAACTGTCACCTGAGTACAACAATTTATAGAGTATCCATAAATAGATACATGAAGTTTTGGTGCTCAAAAGCAAGAAAAATAATGATTAGGATCAACAAATTCATTGGTCTAGTAACTATATGTCCCCCATTGTCACTATCATCATGAAACTTTAAATATTTAAATATCTGCTATTTAACCCTCTCACATTGGCCTATCTTGGCCTTTGAAGAACATAAAAAAAGTTATTATACCTCTACTTATTTTTCCCTTTTTAAAAAAAAGATAATAAAATATGAATAGTTCCTTAGAAATCACTGTGAATGGACTAATCCCCATGCATTTGTCAAATAAGCTAATCCCTGCTTTGGAAGCTAATTCGTAATTCATAATCCTCTATTTCCTTTTTACTTTTGAAACAATATAATAAAACAGTTAAAAAGTATATAATTGAGGGAGTTAGCAAGATTCCAGTTCCCCTCAACCAGGACTTTTTCCCTCGGCTGCACCTCAAGAAATAGTCCTGGCCTTGGGGTACTGGAATCTTGATATACTTTAACTGTATAATAAGTTGTTTTTGTCTGAATTTCATTCATCTGTTATTTACAAGTTTACCTATCATTAAAACTATGAAAGTATTTTTAGTGTTATAAAATAAATGTGCTTGCATAATTCTCCTATTAACGAGGCTCGGGGGTGGCAGCCATATTTAGACTATTTTAATCTCCTTTAAAAGGAGAGCTCCATATAAAGATATAGAAATTGATCAAATTTTAAAACTAAAATCTTTGAATTTTTTCTTTGTCAAATGATAGTTCACAGCTAAAGATACCGTATCTAAAAAAAATAAGTTAAATCTGGTGGTTAATTTGGGATTAATTTGTTGACCCTCCAGCCTCCTTAAACTATTAACATTTCAAACGCATTATTTACAGTGATCATTATCAAAGGTGAATAGCAAAGGGGAATAACTTAGCTCAGTAGAATACAAATAAATAGATGCATTGGCTCTGACTAGAACATTTAAATTAATGGTTCACATGATCAAAATTCTGGTAAAAATACCATTGCTCATAAAAAAACTTTTACTCTGTTTGCCTCCAATATGCCTTCAAGAGCAGAGAAGATTTTCAAAGAAATAATGCACTCTCACTTAATATCTTATATCGCCTACCCTAACTCTAGAACCCCTGACCCTGTGGCTATGAATTTCACAATTTCGGTAAAGGACTCAATGCTCGTTACAATCATGCCAACAGTTTCACTGCTCGTCATCCAGGAATAAAGAAGATTTTTTTTAAATTACATTAATTTTGGTGGTTGTGGTCCCACTCCTAAAACCCAGGGAGGGGGGATGAAATTAACAATTTTTGTTCTCATAGATGCTTTATACCAAATTGGTTGAAATTGGTTGAGCGGTGTTGCAGAGAAGAAGCTGAAAGTGTTCAAATGTTAACACACAATGTATGACGACGGACAAAAATGGATAGGAATAAGTCACCTGAGTTTACTCATGTGACATTAAAAAACATAATTCTCATTTCAAAAAAAAAAAAATGAACAACAAATAAAACAGTATTTCTTATTATTTATTCAATACAATTTCTATTTCTATTTATCATGTGCGGGATATGTGGGGTGCACTTTTTTTCCAAACATAGCCTTTTCCATTTGAAAATGTTCATTGGTTGTACCCCTCCTTAACTTTTCATTGTAGCATATCTTAATCATGATACATTGGTAAAATATTAATAAAATTTGATTATGAAAGAAAAGGAAGTTGCTCCCTACCCCTACAATGAAACAGGATTTTGGACTTCGGACAATTTTCCACCTTAATTTTATAAAAAAAAAAAAAAAAAAAAAAAAAAAAAAAAATGCCCCCCTCCCCCACTCCCTTCTATTAAGAAATACTATACACCTGTTAAGTAAATATATTTGTTTTTGTTGCAATGAATCACCTGACAAAGAATCTGCTTCGAGTACTCTGCTGCTGTAAATCTGTATAGAAGAGTTCAAATAGTTTCTTCAACACACTCTGTAAAAAGGACAAATTTAATACCCAATAAAATTCTGATATAGTAGTCTTCATGAATATGTCAAGAAAAAACAATGTCTAGATAAACAAATGGTGGATATGCTGTTTCCAATATATACCCCAAAGAACTTTGTTTGCAGTGGGTGTAAAAATTTCTACCACAGAGAATTTCCAGCATATAGTATGTTGTTGAATTCCATATATTTTTCTGCAAACAGGTACCTTTTATGGAGCTCTGAATGGAAGAAAAATTTAAGCTCTCCTGGAATCAAAATGTAAAAAAAAAAAATGTGACTGACCTGCCAATCATCCCAGTCATAAGCAAAGGAGCCACACTCATCCTTTCTGGCACCACCTGGATGGTGTGCAGCCATCTGTGTCCTTAGGAACACCAAGATTTCCTCCTGTCATAATTGCATTATGAAATATTTGACTATATCTATTGAACTTTTTGGAATATGAACTCAAAAATTACTTATAAGAGATGCTAGCAATCAATTTGATTCCTTCTCTACTATATTCCCCTAGCTCTGCTCCAAGTAAGAATTTCCTTTTTCCTACGCTAAAAAATTCACTCCCTCCGTGTCCTTTCTAGTTTGACAATGACTTTGAGTTAATCAGAGATTCTGCATTAAAAAAGGAAATCTGTCATTTCAAATAAATTTGATGTGTAAAGAATTTTTTAATATAAAACCAACAATGCCATAATAAACCACTGATTATGAGGTCAATCAGTCATGATAAACAATTGTTAGATGGCGTTATGTTCACTTTAAAATGTAGTGTTATGAATGAGTACCCGGTTCAAGTCACACAATTAACATTCTAAAAGTGTACATCCAAAAATGCAAAATTTATGCAATTTTGATCAGATAGGGATAGCAGTTACTCTGGAATAGAGCTATCCAAAAACTTCAAACTAGTCGCTAGTGTTGGCAAATCACCTGAAATCGGATGATTTTTAGTAAGTGGTTACTCGCTTAATCTTCCAATCGAGTACCCAGTTACTCAGATGATTTTTTGTAAAAGTTCCCATATCTATCATATATCTTATTCTTTACTCATCAGTAGACAAATACACAAATATACTGTATATGAACATTATTTAAAATACACACATACAATAGGGTATACAATATCATAAAAAAAAAATTGATTTCAGATTAAAGAAAATAAGGAATTTGACACACCAAGAAGACAATTAAATATAATTATGGTCGTTGATTACAATTTTACAATGGCTTTCGTTGTTTTCCTTTTCTATTTTAAGACCATGCATTACAAGTCTCATGATGATATCACATTTAACAAGAAAATTATGAAGAAATAAAGAAAGCATGTAAGTGTACATCGGCGCACAAAAGCAAGCATAATTTACCCTAATTTATCATGTCAAGATGTTTTTTTTCTGCTCACACGAATCTGTTAACATTCAATATTTTCTATTAAAGTGAAAAACCACTCTTGACTAAGGGACTTAAAGGTCTCCTGAAACATACGTAACAACTTTGTATAATCGCAAAGCATATAACATATACACAAGACTCGTAAAAGTCTCTGTCTTCTAACTCATTCATAAAGCGAAGAAAACAGCCAATAAACAAACAGGTAAGTTTCCGGCAGTTCTGGAATCGCTCGTAACTTTCTGGCGTAAAAACCGGAAATGACGTTATATCTACCATCGGAAGTCAGCGCGGTAAAAGAAAACTACATGGACATCGAAAAAAGACCTGATTATCAATAAAAGATGGTGATTTGTGCAGTTGTGAATTGTAATAACAATCCAGAGAATACTGCTGGTGTGAGTTTTCATAGGTTTCCAAATGTCAAAAAGAGGAAAGATCTGTATTTGAAGTGGATCTACCAAAGTAAACAGAGTCAACCCTTCTTCGACATCCACTACGTTAGACAAATTATGGACCCCAAAATATCATTCTGTCGTTTGCTCCAACCATTTTACTTCGGACTGCTCTACAAAGAATCTATCTGTAGTGGAATCAATGAATCTTACAGGATTTAAAGTAAGATTAAAGCCGGATGCGTACCCGACCCTACTACTAAGTCCACAAGTCGTCATACCAAGTATCAAGCCAGCTTTCAAAAAGAGGGAAGCACAGAGGGTATGTATTTATAGAAATAGGATTTGTTCACAAATTAAACTAGGGCTAATTGTAACGGGAACCGTTACAGATGTTCCCCAAACGCTCCCCAACTCCCTTTTGGTGCCTTAGTCCCTGTAAGCTTCATTAACCCATTTTGCTCTGAAACCAACTGAGAGCATCTTATCAGTATATCTGAGAGCTGTGCTGCCAGCAGCTGTGATAAGCCCAGATGTTGGGGGCATGTTGATAATTGGCTAATACCTATCTTGTTACACTGCCTATGCATATAAAAGTATATATTTCCAGACAGACAATTAAATTGCCTACATGATGATATAAGTTTCTCCCATCATTATTATTATTTACTCTCATAAATCCTTGTTGAAAGTTGGTGATAATGAAGAAAAACAAAATAAATTTTTACTTCTTTTTAATTGGATGCTTAATTACTCATTAAAAGTGAATGTAAACAACATGTTTTTTTGCAATATTTTTATACAATTATATTTCATCTATCAGGTAGAGTTTACAGAACAAAAGTAGATGAAATAAAACAAAAGTTACAGATATTTATATGTTATCACCTATATCTTGAAAAAATACACAATTTCACAAACTGGTTGCTGTTGCATTATGGTCAAAATCTTGAAATAAATTATAATTATACCAGTAAAAATTGTCAATTGTATAGAGAACATATTTCATTTAACAATTCTATGAATTATTTCTTTTTTGCATATGCCTAATAATTCAAGAAGAGTCCATATTTACCGTATATGGTAATAACATCAAATTTCACTAATTTAAAGTCCTTATTGTCTGATCATCCTCATGATATGGTTGGATTGGCACTCAAGGTGTACTGGGACATTGCACTGGGTGCATCCAAATTTGGTAACCCCTTTCCTTTGTCCAGGAGTCCCAGACAACGAACACTCACGACACACTTTATTTTTCTCGTACAGTTTTTTGATGCTGTGTTCCGTTGCTCTTCCCCCACAGTCAACTTTTGGAGCTTCACGGCCAGATCTTGTGTCTCCAATCAGGTTTTCAAAAATTTCCTCCACAAAATCCTGGAATATTGGCCACCTGTCCTTGCTCATTTCCGGATGGGTATCCTTCGCAATGACGTAAGCATTATGTGCGGAAACCATCATCAAATAGAAAAATATGCGCCGCCACCATTTCTTGGATCTGTGGTGAAGCATATAATACCCGATCATTTGATCACACAGGTCGACACCTTTCATATATTTCTGGTAATCAGAAAGAAGACAAGGAACTTCCACAATGGTTTCAGCGGCTGCCCGGCGGGTCACTTGGCCAGTGTGTTGCGGATCATGGAAATTTGACAGGACAAGGACTGGCTTGGTGTCCTTCCAAACACAGAAAGTGAGGCTGTCATTTTGGGCCACTTTGTACGCATGTTTTTCAAGATTGATTCTAGCTGGCAAGAGTTCCTTTGGCAGTCCTTTCCTGTTGGATCGTACGGTACCGCAAGCCATAATTCCACGGACGTGAAGATCCTGAAGTAATTGAGGACTGGTGTAGAAATTGTCCATATACACATTTAAGTTTGTGCCAAACATATGTGTACACAAATCCATAACCACTCTGTGTGCAAGACCTTTTTCTGTATTATTTTCTTTACCCGTGTAAATCTGGAAAGTGTTCATGTACCCTGTGTCACTTTCTGCCATTGTCCAGATTTTTACGCCCCACTTGATCGGTTTGGCTGGAAGATACTGTCGAAAGGCTAGTCGTCCCTTGAACTTGATCATACTTTCATCTATAGTAACATTTTCATGAGGCACATAGAGTTCCTTAAACTTTGTGTTCAGAAATTCAATAAACCACCTGATTTTCCAAAGTTTGTCCGGTTGTTCAGGTTGTTGTTCATTGTTTTGTAGATGTAGGTATCTCCAGATTTGAGTAAATCTATCCCTGGGCATAACTCTGCCAAACTGTGTTGTTAACATCCACTTGGACTGTCTCCAATAATCGTTTTTTGTGGGCAATCTCAATATTCCCATGGCAAAGCAAAGTCCAATGAACGCTTTCAAATCTGCTTTAGTGACCGGCGTCCATTTTGGGGCATACGGGGGTGGTGGATTTTTGGTCCGTTCTTGTTCCGCATAGGTGTTAGTTTCCTGGACCAGTTTATCCCACATTTCGTCAGTCCAAATCAGCTCAAAATACTGACCAGCAGAAGCTTCTTCTGGATGCTCTATTGTGGAACCACCTACCTTTTTGTAGCGTGGACGAACGCGGCCAGTAAAATTCTCGGTCACCCAGCGATTTTGAAACCCGAGGAACTCCCCTTCGTCGCCTGAATCTTCACCGAATATATCTAAAATCCAGTCATCTACATCGCCATGTTGTACTTCTCGATCTATTCCTCCTAAAACGTCTCCATTCCCTTCATTTTCTTCTCCTACATCGTCATTATCTGCCTCAATATCACTTCCATCACTGAACTCCGCATCTCTCGCCGCCATTTTGTTTGCATTCGTAGTTTTCAAGCTTCGGTTTCTTTGTTTCAATGGGGATTTTCCCCTTATAAATAGATATCTAGTTTCATTATACAATGCGCATGGGCAGCGGAAATGTACTAGATCTTAGTCATACAAAAGTTTTCTTTCATATCCCTTACGTTTCTACAATACGAAGCGTCAAAGTGACGATGTTTGTGTACTACCACTGTAGTAGTGCCCCGATCAATAAGGTAGAGTACGCCTGCGGTAGTATGCCGACCAATATGGGTTAAATAAGACGAACTGTATGCACGTGCATGCATGTGCATGATGACCATACATTTTTGTAGGAGTCCCTTATGTCTATCTCCGTTCTATATTCCATCCTGTTTGGTTGATTGCCAAGAGAGTTATGACAATTTAAAGTTTAAGCCAATCAGATTACAGTGCACATGTATGCGCGTGATTTCATGAAAATTATTATTTATCAAGTTATAGGATCTCCTAATGCATGACTATGTTTTAAATATCAAAGCATTTCGTTAAAAAGCAAAAAAGATATTGAGATTTCTGTTTCAACCAATCAGAGCGAAGTGCACGTGCATGCATGTGCATGATGACCAGACGTTTTTGTAGGAGTCTATAATGTCTATCTATGCTCTGAATCCCATCATGTTTGGTTGAAAATCAAGGAAGTTATAGCCATTTAAAGTTTTAGCCAATCGGATTGCAGCGCACGTGCATGCACGTGTTTTCGTGAAAATTTTTACATATCATACTGTTGTATATCCTAATGCATGACTATGTTTAAAATTTCAAAGCATTTCAGCAAAAAACAAAAAAAGATATTGAGATTTTTGTTTCAGCCAATCAGAGCAAAACTCACGTGCATGTGCGTGCATGCATGTGCGTGATAACAATACCTTTTTGTAAGAGTCTATACTGTCTATCTATGCTCTGAATCCCATCATGTTTGGTTGAAAATCAAGGAAGTTATAGCCATTTAAAGTTTTAGCCAATCAGATAGCAGCGCACGTGCATGCGCGTGCTTTCGTGAAAATTGTTATACATCATACTCCGAAAACCCAAGGTGCCTAAACTGACAAAGTTTGATGATTCTAAGCTTATACGTACCTGAGATATTCAAAAGTAGGTCACTGTGATCTATTTTTTGGTCGACATTCTCCGAAAACCCAAGATGCCTCAACTGACAAAGTTTGATGATTCTTAGCCAACAAGTGCCTGAGATACTTAAATATAGCCATAAAATGTCAAAAGTAGGTCACTGTGACCTACTTTTTGGTCGATGTTCTCCTAAAACCCAAGATGCATCAACTGACAAAGTTTGACGATTTTAGGTCAATAAGTACCAGAGATACTTAATTATAGTCAAAAAATGTCAAAAGTAGGTCACCATGACTTACTTTTTGGTCGCCACTCTCCGAAAACCCAAGATGCATCAACTCACAAAGTTTGATGATTCTAAGCCAATAAGTACTGGAGATACTTAAATAAAGCCATATAATGTCAAAAGTAGGTCACCGTGACCTACTTTTAGGTCTTCACTCTCCGAAAACCAAATATGCATGGACTCACAAAGTTTGATGATTCTAAGCCAATAAATACCTAAGATACTTAAATATAGCCATAAAATGTCGAAAGTAGGTCATCGTGACCTACATTTTGGTCGACATTTTTCAAAGACCCAAGATGCATCTACTGACCAAGTTTGATGATCGTAGGTCTGAAGGTAATCAAAATATGCATTTCAAACGGTTTTCAAATGTCGGCAAAATTGAAAAAGTAGGTTACAGTGACCTACTTTTTCATAAGTATGTTTTCAGGTCCCAAGATGCATCAAAGTACAAGATTTGATGATTCTAAACCTCCCAGTGTCTGAAATAATGGGATTTAATGTTTTTCAAAGGATAAGTCATAAAGTCCAAAAAGTAGGTCACGGTGACCTACTTTTAAGTTGACATTGTTCGAGGACCCAAGATGCATCAACTGTCAAAGGTTGATGATCATAGGCCTTAAAGTATCCAAAATATGCCTTCAAATCGATTTGAAAACAAATCCCCGCAAAATTTAAAAAGTAGGTGGCCGTGACCTACTTTTGAGTTAACATGATGTGAAGTCGTAAGATGCATCAACTTACAAGAATTGATGATCCTAGTCCTTATAGTAAGCAAAATATACACGTTTTTATTAATTGTAAATTTAGGTCAACTTTGAAGTGACCTTGGGACCATGCCCTTTCCCCCGGGGTAATTCCCCGTGCAAATTTTAATCTTCGACATACCCTTTTATGTAAGTTTGGTGAAAATCTGCCTGGTGGTTATGGAGAAGAAGATTTTTTTAGCAACCAGTACTTTTGGTTTTGTTTTCCTGATTATCTCCCCTTGTTTAAGGGTCCCAACTCTTGTTTTAGTGTAAGTGGTAGCCCTTGGGCCAAGGATACCCTCTGACAAATTTGGTACTGATTGGCCAAGGGGTTCTTCAGTTATGGCCCATATTCTAAAAAGTTTACGCACAAATGGCCATAGCATTAGCTCTTTGAGCCTTTGGCTCAGAAGAGCTAAGTACAGGGAAAACCGCATGTCTTATTAAAACAAGAAGCCCATGGGCCATATCGCTCACCTGAGCACAAAGGGTAGGAAAAAGTAGAAAATGGTTTTTTATAGTAAAGTTTAAATCCAAAAGTAGTCCCATGACCAATCATGGATTTGCTATTTTTTAGAAAATGATTTTTTAAAGAATTTTCCTATATATGATCTTTGAAAACTTTGGTCGGCCATTTTGGCCCCGCCCTACCCCGGGGGGTCATGATTTGAACAAACTTGAATCTACACTACCTGAGCATGCTTCCATATAAATATGATGAATTATGGCTTTGTCATTCTTGAGAAGAAGATTTTCAAAGAATTTTCCTATATATTTCTATGTAAAACTTTGGTCGGCCATTTTGGCCCCGCCCTACCCCCGGGGGTCATGATTTGTACAAATTTGAATCTACACTACCTGAGCATGCTTCCATAGATATATGATGAATTATGGCTTTGTCATTCTTGAGAAGAAGATTTTCAAAGAATTTTCCTATATATTTTTATGTAAACCTTTGGTCGGCCATTTTGGCCCCGCCCTACCCCCAGGGGTCATGATTTGAACAAACTTGAATCTACACTTCCTGAGCATGCTTCCATATAAATATGATGAATTATGGCTTTGTCATTCTTGAGAAGAAGATTTTTAGAGAATTTTCCTATGTATTTCTATGTAAAACTTTGGTCGGCCATTTTGGCCCCGCCCTACCCCCGGGGATCATGATTTGAACAAACTTGAATCTACACTACCTGAGGATGTTTCCCCATAAGTTTCATCTTTCCTGGCACAGTGGTTCTTGAGAAGAAGATTTTTAGCTCACCTGAGCCGAAGGCTCAAGTGAGCTTTTCTGATCAAAATTTGTCCTTTGTCTGTC